CTACCCTTAAGCTAATCCCAATCCAATATCCAGTGAAGCTAGCAGTCCAAGGATACCCCGTCAGCTGCTTCTCAACCACGACAGATCGACCTAGTGGTTAAACGCTCGTGACAAGGTCGAGAACAAAGACGCGCCTTTGGTGAGCACAGGATACTAAACACTAAATACATATGGAAGTACGGCAAATTAATAATCTTCGGCGAAGGCAGCGCGGACAGAGAGCGAATCATGAAACGAGCGGCGGTCGCAGAAAATCCTAAGAATGATTAGGGGAAACACGAAGGGGATCCCGTCGGCGGTGATTAGTAATTAGTGGGTTCGATCTGAGTACCTCGCTTGCTCGGAGCGTCCTTCGCAAGAATCGCGCCGCCGTCGCCATGGCAGCTGCTGCGGCGTTAAACCCCCTTCCCTCTCCTGAGTCTTCTTCTCCCCTCCACCAGCCTTCGTCTTTTCCCGGAGACCCTAGGACTCTGCGGTGATCCTGGCCGTCCAGAAGGGACGGGAAAGGTGTGTATGTAAAACAGTCTCCGTCACTAATCCTAAAGCGTGGTTCGGTTCATGTTCAAAGTTTTTACTTTTTTGTGCGGAAGCATGTTTTATTTTGATTGATAACTAGTAATCATACTAGTAGAATGGCCGTGCGTTGCTACAAGATTTTGAAATATTTTTTATGACGGGGTGAGGAGTCACGGTGGCGGGGTGAGGAGTCACGATGGCGTTGCCCGTGCGTCGTCACGGTGGCAGGGTGAGGAGTCGTCGGAGTACCTGTCGCCGCTGCATACCTCGACCTCCTCTGCGTCGGAGGAATCCTTCATGTCAGAGGCCATGAAGGGGTTCCCATTTTGTGGCGCGCAGCGACAGGTGGCTAATCTTCATAAATTCTCCGGCAACGGCATGCCGAGGACGCTTCTGAACACAACCTGCCCGCCTGACAGCCGGCCACACCCGGGGCGACTGCCCCCGCGGGCATGCACCCTTTATGGAGTGTGACGAGCACGGGACTGGCCGTCGCCCATGCCTGGTCCTCCCTCCTGCCGCAGATCGGTCATGCGTTGCCTCCGCGGTCGCTCGCCATTGTTGCGGAGAAGTCACCCACAGATAGATGTGCATCCGTTGCGGCGACTCGATTGAGAAACCCTGATCAGGGCGGAAGAGTCAGAATTGGGCGGTGGCGACGCATCGATCTAGGAATCCTATACGTGAGAGAAAGAAAGAGGTGGGGATTGGGGTGCGGCGGCGCAGCTGGTGGAGAACACGAGACGAGCGGCGGTGCGCTAGGAATTAAGGAAGGGGAGACGTACGTGGTCTGGACTCTGGAGCGCTAGCGAATGAGCGAACCAACGACGTACAGACTGTGCAATTAAGAGTAGAGATTTATGGCGAAGGTGATATATGTACAGTAATTCTGAACCCTAATGCATGAAGAGTGGAAAAGATGTGTACCATGATTGTATATGGAAACTTTACCCAAAATCATATTTTTCGACTCTTATTAAAGTAAATATTTCAGCATAGGAGTTCGATTGGTATTCACAAACGTCAATTTGTCAAGGCCCGGAAATCATTCTAGCATTATCACGGATTCAAAATAAAACATAACTAGATATCTAGAGTCTCATCGAAAATCCCTTTCGACTGGTATAGAACATCAGATCAATTTTTACCTAGAACTATACCACAATATACATATACAAGTTTATTTCAATCGCGCACATCAAATTGGTGACAAACACGACTATAGAAAAGGAACAAAATGGATGGCAGAGAGACCAGTGGAGATCTATGTATCTCGGTTTTGGGCTATCATCTTCACAATCAGAGAGACCATAACTTTGCCCCTCAACTAATTAACAGTAGTATTGTTTTGTTTGACACATGTTAGTAACTTAACAAAGAGGGATAATCTCTGAAGGTTTCACGAAAATTCTTGGTGGAATTTGTTTGAACGACTGGCTTTAATGCATCCAGCGTGCTCCGTATTCAAATATTCCACCCTGTTGGCGTCATTTAAAAATGCCTTGCCTGAAGTGAGATGCATGCCACATAAATCATAATAGACTGGAAGCAGCGAGCACTGGAATGTGCATAACCGTGACCAAAATCGTCGAATTTACCGAATCAATTAATTTTGGTTGAAAGCTGAATTAACAAACTAGAGATCGGTGTGACCATAAAGTAGATCGACCTGCAACATAAATAGGGAGGCCCCCATAATTAGTTTCTGTCAAGTACTGCAGCAGAGATCTTAATCCTTTTGGGTCGTCTGGATAAGCCATTGAGACGTAATGCACTGAGAAAAAAAGTTACATGAACCAGATCAAAAAAAAGTTGCATGAACCAGATCGAATTCCCAGTTCAACTAATTCATGTCCAAAAAAGCTGAAGCAAGTAGCATTTTTAGCAACATAGTTGAAAACCTTTATGCCTGTGCATTGCTCCCGCACCACGGAAGAAAATATCATGTAAGTATATTTGGTTATGAAGAGGATCACAAATAAAATATTTTGGTGCCATCAAAATTTTCCAATGAATAAAAAATAAATAGAATGCTATAGAACAGATTGCTAAATTAATAAATGTAGAGGAACTTCATTTTACAGTCTTATTTATAGATGTCTACTAAACTAATCCTGAGTCATAGGGACAAAAACATAAAGCCTGATAAGGGAAAAAAGCGAGAACACATCCTACAATCTTACCTACAGATATCGGCATATTGTCAGGTGTTGCCTCTTTGCTAGAAGTACAGTTAGACATTTTAGAATGGCCGGCGCATTTCAGCTCTTAGAAACAATAGAAACCGGCAATATGTACAACACCTAATATTATCATGTCGACAATAACTATTCCGATTGATGTGAAGGATATTTCCTGGTATCCCATTATGGCCAAGTACGAACTGAAGATAATATCTACATTGAAATATAGCCATCATTAAAACACTAAATCCTCAATTGCACATAGCTGCTGACTTGAAATAATTATTTGTGGCGAAAGTGATTTATGTACAGTAATTCTGAACCCTAATGCATGAAGAGTGAAAAAGATGTGTACCATGATTGTATATGGAAACTTTACCCAAAATCATATTTTTCGACTCTTATTAAAGTAAATATTTCAGCATAGGAGTTCAATTGGTATTCACAAACGTCAATTTGTCAAGGCCCGGAAATCATTCTAGCATTATCACGGATTCAAAATAAAACATAGCTAGATACCCCGAGTCACATTGGAAATCCCTTTCGACTGGTATAGAACATCAGATCAATTTTTACCTAGAACTATACCACAATATACATATACAAGTTTATTTCAATCGCGCGCATCAAATTGGTGACAAACACGACTATAGAAAAAGGAACAAAATGGATGACAGAGAGACCAGTGGAGATCTATGTATCTCGGTTTTGGGCTATCATCTTCACAATCAGAGAGACCATAACTTTGCCCCTCAACTAATTTAGAGTAGTATTGTTTTGTTTGACACATGTAAGTAACTTACCAAAGAGGGATTAATCTCTGAAGGTTTCACGAAAATTCTTGGTGGAATTTGTTTGAACGACTGGCTTTAATGCATCCAGCGTGCTCCGCATTCAAATATTCCACCCTGTTGGCGTCATTCAAAAATGCCTTGCCTGAAGTGAGATGCATGCCACATAAATCATAATAGACTGGAAGCAGCGAGCACTGGAATGTGCATAACCGTGACCAAAATTCGTCGAATTTACCGAATCAATTAATTTTAGTTGAAAACTGAATTAACAAACTAGAGATCGGTGTGACCATAAAGTAGATCGACCTGCAACATAAATAGGGAGGCCCCCATAATTAGTTTCTGTCAAGTACTGCAGCAGAGATCTTAATCCTTTTGGGTCGTCTGGATAAGCCATTGGGACGTAATGCACTGAGAAAAAAAAGTTGCATGAACCAGATCAAAAAAAAGTTGCATGAACCAGATCGAATTCCCAGTTCAACTAATTCATGTCCAAAAGAGCTGAAGCAAGTAGCATCTTTAGCAAAATAGTTAGAAACCTTTATGCCTGTGCATTGCTGGGTCTGTTCTAGAACCTGCACCATGGAAGAAAATATCATGTAAGTATACGTTTCGAAAGCTTCGACAAACTATTTGGTCAGTATATAAATTTAATGAATTAAATTCCCAATTTTAGTTGTCGAACTCATGGACGATGCAGCAATATGCCGATGCACATACAAAATTTGCGTACCTTCTTTCCAAAATACATGTGAAGTTATGAATTTTGGTAGTAGAGATAAATGAGGAAGGAGATTGACTTGGTGGGATCGCATGCAACTTGAGATAACCTGCGTCCTTTAATTGGTGGCGCACTGGGCACATCGGATAAACCATCCTACACATGACTCATTCGATTCCGCATAGTAAAATCTACTCTATTGTGTTGGAACGACATCATAACTTCACTTGTATTTTAGAAAGAAGGAAAACAGATGACCCTTGCAACTTATGGTGATAGATGATGCAGAAAAAAGAAACAATTTTGGGAAGAAACTCTGGATCCTAGGTTACATGCATCATCGATTGGACGAACAACAAATACAATTATGATGCAGTTGAGGAATCGAATTATTCTTGCATTTTCCAAAGGAAAGTAAATATCCATATCATAATGGTACGCAAAATTGAGTTTCTACAAAGATTTTCTTAGAGTAATAAATATTGGCTAGATCATTATCGAACAAAATGCACAAACATGTCGTCCAGAAGAAGATACCAGTAAACAGCTTGTGTATCTTAACAGTAACATATAGAGAAGGTTTGTTCAATGGGAAAAATAATTGTTGCAATATCTATATGTTGAATAATTTCAATGCCTAGCCCAATTGCAAAGATTATGTATCACGGGCATATTGATCTTCATGTTACAGGCAAAGACGAATGATTGTGTATCTTAGGAAAAATACCGGAGCTTTCATATGCACGGGAGGACTGGAATTAGGGCTATTCGCTCATTTGATATGGCAGATAATGAAGCAGGGAGTAAACAAAATGAGAATAGTTTATCAGTTACCACAGGAAACCAACCACTTTAGGAGAAGATTTGACATCGCCTCCAGCAGACATGAGTGGAGCAGTGTTCCGACTGGCTTGGCTGGCTTACGAGGCTTAGGAATCGCATTGTTCCCTGGACTGGATCAGTATGTGACTACTCAGATGCATACCCACCCATTGCTCCGCCACGCCACCTGGCTTGAGAACCACGAGCTGCCTGCAGAGTCCCAGTGCTCCTCCCCCTCGACGTACGCAACAGCACACCTGTGGCCGCCGCTGCTACTGTGGCTTCCCAGCGCCATGTCCCTTGACGTGCTCAGATCCGAGTAGCCATCGATGGAGTAGTAGTT